AAATGCATGCACTATCTATACAACAAATTCCTGAACTTTTAGAGCATTTATGTACATGGTAACATGGAATGATTTTCAGTTGTACCAAAAAGCATATACATGTATATTTTTATTATATAGCAACGAAGTTGTATATAGTGTATATATTATATTGTACTGCGACAACGCATACAATCTTAAGTATTGTGGATATCATTTGTGGATTTATTGTAAGTATGCTAACTATTTGTCCTTTTTCAGTATAATTTGCTATTTGTAAAATACTAAAATATATATTTCTCATACCTCATGTTTGCTTCATAATTCATTGACAAATATTCATGTGTCCTTCGATCGAATCATCGCCGCCTCCTGCGATTTATATGATGTGACATAAAGCAGATGTTAAGAAGATTGATGTACATTAGACGTAATATATAAACGTAAATATTAAAAAGAAAGACTACAACAATATACAAAATAAATCGCCATTCGGTTCATTCGTGAACTTTTCCTCGCCCCCCTGTCTTTATTTCCATAAAGCCCGCTCGCAGGCTAATACTCCAAGAATCTTGGAGTATTTGCCTGACATGTGACCAGCGTTTACCAGGGCCTCGCCCGCTTTGGCGGCCGTATTAAAAAATCGGCACTACCTTCACTGCAGACAGTTCAACATTAATAATTATGTATTTAATACTAAAATCAGATTATAATACATTTAATACTGTACATCAGATTATAATAAATTTAAATAATTATGTATTATTACAAAATAGTTCATCACAACAAATTGACACAACATTTTCCCAAGGATGATGTAAGCTCACAACTATTGAGGCTGATTATGTTATCAAAAAATGAAAAATTTGAGAATTGACACGAAAAAATTACAGTTGGACTACTGGAATCATGGTAGCTTACTGAACCGTGATTCCAGTAGTCCAACTGTAATTTTTTCGTGTCAATTCTCAAATTTTTCATTTTTTGATAACATAATCAGCCTCAATAGTTGTGAGCTTACATCATCCTTGGGAAAATGTTGTGTCAATTTGTTGTGATGAACTATTTTGTAATAATACATAATTATTTAAATTTATTATAATCTGATGTAAAGTATTAAATGTATTATAATCTGATTTTAGTATTAAATACATAATTATTAATGTTGAACTGTCTGCAGTGAAGGTAGTGCCGATTTTTTAATACAGCCGCCAAAGCGGGCGAGGCCCTGGTAAACGCTGGTCACGTGTCAGGCAAATACTCCAAGATTCTTGGAGTATTAGCCTGCGAGCGGGCTTTATGGAAATAAAGACGGGGGCGAGGAAAAGTTCACGAATGAACCGAATGGCGATTTATTTTGTATATTGTTGTAGTCTTTCTTTTTAATATTTACGTTTATATATTACGTCTAATGTACATCAATCTTCTTAACATCTGCTTTATGTCACATCATATAAATCGCAGAGGAGGCGATGATTCGATCGAAGGACACATGAATATTTGTCAATGAATTATGAAGCAAACATGAGGTATGAGAAATATATATTTTAGTATTTTACAAATAGCAACGGTATGTATGATTCTTCTAATCCGAGAATTTCCTCCAAAAGTGTGTCTAGCTCCGAAATTTCTGGGGAAATTCCTGAGCCATGTTCCTCTGCAGCCATTTTTCTGAGGCAATGAGGCCATTTTTTTGAGGCGATGATTCGATCGAAGGACACATGAATATTTGTCAATGAATTATGAAGCAAACATGAGGTATGAGAAATATATATTTTAGTATTTTACAAATAGCAACGGTATGTATGATTCTTCTAATCCGAGAATTTCCTCCAAAAGTGTGTCTAGCTCCGAAATTTCTGGGGAAATTCCTGAGCCATGTTCCTCTGCAGCCATTTTTCTGAGGCAATGAGGCCATTTTTTTGAGGCGATGATTCGATCGAAGGACACATGAATATTTGTCAATGAATTATGAAGCAAACATGAGGTATGAGAAATATATATTTTAGTATTTTACAAATAGCAACGGTATGTATGATTCTTCTAATCCGAGAATTTCCTCCAAAAGTGTGTCTAGCTCCGAAATTTCTGGGGAAATTCCTGAGCCATGTTCCTCTGCAGCCATTTTTCTGAGGCAATGAGGCCATTTTTTTGAGGCGATGATTCGATCGAAGGACACATGAATATTTGTCAATGAATTATGAAGCAAACATGAGGTATGAGAAATATATATTTTAGTATTTTACAAATAGCAACGGTATGTATGATTCTTCTAATCCGAGAATTTCCTCCAAAAGTGTGTCTAGCTCCGAAATTTCTGGGGAAATTCCTGAGCCATGTTCCTCTGCAGCCATTTTTCTCTTAAACTTATCCCTCAGTAGCTTGAAGCGGTCACAAACAGAGCGCTGTACAACCAAAAACTTTGGCTCTGCCAACTTGTTCAAATTTTCAGCAATTGTGTTCCACAAATGTCCTCTTTGGCTTGTTCGTGACTTTGTCGTGTAAGGTTCCACCACAAGTATATCCCTACATAGCAAAACATCGTGAAGGTTCGTCCATTCCATCTATATATAAAAACGTGTACATAAATTAGGTCGAAAGTAGTCGCCAAAGCGAAGTCAAAGAACGAACTGACCAGCGCCATACGAGTGGAAACTTGCCTTGTATATAAGTGCCAAACAAAGGAAATTTACGAAAGCAACAACGTTAAAGATTACGCTGGCACGTCAATGACATAGTAAACAAATATAAACCATATTTACCTCTTAAAATTATCTTGAAGTTTCTTGAAAATCCTCACTTTACACCTATTGTTGTGAAGTTATCAACGTGTAGTGGACGACGAGCAATTGAGAGTGACGCATGTGCACTTCAAAAAATATTGCCAATTCACTTCTGCTTGCCGTCCTAGATAGTTGACGTCGCAGATCTTAAGCTATCTATTGTTAGCTCATGGTAAAAAGAGTCTCCTGCACAAAATGTATCAAGCAGGAATAGAACTTGTTCAATCTTCCTCATAGGATAAACTATCAAAATTCTTGCAGTCATAAACATGGAGAGGATGTGTTCTGCTCCATGGCTGTGATCCCTTTCAACTCCAGACCAAATGACTTCATAAACCACAGTGCAACTTTAGTTTGTGACATGAAAGTGGTTAGTGTCCTTGATTTTTTTGAAACTTGGTAAACATCTCTACCATGGTTTTTGAAACCTTTGCTTTCTTTCAAGACATTACCAGAAATTTGGGACAAGATGGCGACGCGCGTGCGCATACCTATAATAATTTTACCTATAATTCTACAGTAAAGCCACAAAAATTTTGGCCAATTTTAGACTATTTTCTCACCGATCGCAGCTCGATACGTTCGTCCCATTACCTAAGCTACATATTTAGTTCTACATATTTCCCGAGATCGATGTATTTTGGTCGCATATTTCCAGCATTCTTCTATATACACCATAGTAATCTTGTCAAACTTGTGCCAAAAACTGTCCAATTTAACCATGAACCTTGTACGCGATGCGGCTATCGCAGCTCGCGCCGTCTTCCCGAGTATTCAAGCTTTCCAAAGTGCTCATAAAAGCCCACATTAGACCCTTGCAATTTACTTCCAAAAGCTTTTAATGTGGGCCTTTTTGATGTATTAAACATTTCGGTTTAACGTCGCCTTCGAAGGTTCAGAATGACCATCAAAACGAAGTTCACTTTATAAGCTTCGTAAAATCGCCATGTTTCTTGTTGACATATTTACATAATCATACTCCAGTCACTCTAGTAGGTCAATACTAGTTTCCAGGCAATATCCTGACAAAATAGAGCAATTTTTCGCGTAATATTATGTAGATTTTAAAAATTCTTCTCGTGCGAAAATGTCGGAAATTTTGAAAGAATACAAAAAGCGAGAGGTAGATTATAAGTTAAAAGTGGGTTCTGAAGCCCCTCTTTCTTATGTTAATCGACAGCTTCAGCTTCATCTACATGATGAAATTCTGTTTACCGTGGATATTCCATGGCCAATACTACAACTGTGGTGAGATGTTCTTGAAGGAGTATCCAGTGAAGATGCAAATTTTATTGATCTGCTGAATTCAACTGTGGTTGATGGATGGTTTGTTTTAAAACGTGATTGCAAACGTCAATAATCATTGCTTAATAAAAAAGCAAGTGATGTGAAAATTAGCTACAGGAAAACGAGTGGAAGGAAAAGGCAAGAGTTGGATGATAAAGTATACCGCCTGTCTGTGAGAAGGGGCGAGATCGATTCAACAGAAATAGATAAATCTGAGATCAAAAAGTGCCGCGATGAAGCTAAAATATTCAAAAGAAAATGTGGTGATTTAGAAAATGAAATAAAAATTCTTTCTGAAGAGATGGTGAATGAGACAAAAAGGCTTGAAGAGGAAATTGTGGATTTAAAAAAAGTAAACAAAGAGTTAGCAGACTATGTGGAAATACTGGAAAAAGATCTATCCCTAAACTGCCAGGGTAAAACAATGACTGACGTGGGAAATAAACAAAAGGGAAGAAAACTCTCAAACTTCTCAAAAACCGAGCTCAATGTGCCTTGTGGTTTTGTCGAAGCTATGGTTTGGAATTGTCGCATATAAAGCTACAAGATACAGAAGGTAGCAATTACAATTTGGATTTCCAAAATGATACCACCCCCTCAGATTTGAAAGAGAGTGACAAGGAAAATTTAGAGAAAATTTTATTTTTGCTAGACAAATTCTGTGTTGGTGATGAGGTATACCATGAATTGTCGATTCTATCAGATGATTTACCAAAATCATACCTGATTAAACAATTGCGATCTGATTTGAACAAAACCTACCATATCGAAAGAACTGCTGGGAAGTGTCCTGGGGCAAACCTAAATTTTCCCTCTACACTGTCAGTTCATGTTGAGGAGTTATTACTTCATAAGCCAGAGCTTAAAAATGATGTGGTTAAAGTGAAAGTGAGTGGAGATGGAGCTCAAATGTCTCGCTCGACCAACTTCATGATGATGTCATTTGCCTTACTACAAGGCAATGAAAAGGTCATGTCCTCCAAGAGCAACCGAACTGTTGCTATTATCAACGGTCCTGAAGATTATGAAACCTTAAAAGGGTCATTGCCCCTTTTATTTAAAGAAATCAATGAACTCATCAGGACAGGGTCCATTCTAATTAACAATGAACATGTGAAATTGGAATTTTTCTTGGGAGGGGATTTGACATTTTTGTTGATGATGTTGGGACTATCTTCAGCAACAGCCGACTATGCTTGCTTGTGGTGCAAAGTCCACAAGGATAACAGGTGGGACACAAGTAAAGGTATGGACTTCTACAACCAGGAACCTAACCGAAGAACTTTGAAGGATATTCTAAAATGCTTAGAGTCAGAAGATTGTTTTAGTTGCAAAAAACGTAGATCATGTAGTACCAGATGAACTACATCTATTATTAAGAGTGACAGACAGGCTACTTCAAAATGTAATTGATGAGGTGAGGGAAAGGGATTCCATTGATAGTTGGAACAAATCGAAGGGACAACCCAAGGACAAACATTTGAACAACCTTGTTAAAGGGATTAATGATTGTGGCATCCCATTCAGGGGCGGATCTAGGATTTTTCGTACCTCAGTCAAAAAAAGTTTGGCGGACGGGGCATTACCGGCGCTGGGCGTGGTCGACTCCAGCCGGGGGGGGCACCAAATAATTTTTATGCTGATAGTCCGCCACTGGATTTTTAGAATTTTCCGTACGTAAAATGCGATTTGGTCCCCCCCCCCCACCTATTAACCTAAATCCTAATTGACCAAATTATAAAACATATTTAGATTAAATTGATAAACTCAAACGAACATTTGATTCTTATCCACGGTAAGAAAAACTACAAATGCACAAAGATATATTGATGCTATTTCAATACAAAATTTTATAGATATGTTGCAATTATTTAATACTTTAAAACTCAGCAGCAATTTAACATGTTTGCCTGAGGATTAATGAATCGTCGTCATATTGGTACTATATATATAATTGTAAAACTTCTAAAATCATATGGCAGCAAATGTATTAAGGAAATACACAGAACTATACAAATAACTGCCAGTAGCCTGAGCTCTAAAAAACAACCAGATATTCATTAACTAAATTAAAGATGTTAAGTCAAATATTAATAAACTCTTACTATTAATAAAGTCTCACTGTGGTCTATATATTGAACACAAAATATACTATTAATAAACGAGTAACATCAGAATGGCTACCAGCCAATGAGCTTTTCAAGCTACCTTATTAATTATTTCACATCATCATGTTACACCAGACCAATGCGGTCTAACAAGTCATGTCGATACGCTATGGATAAACAATACTCTTAAGGCGTACATGTTATGTGATTAATGCATAAATATAAAGAAATTTTAAATAAAACTTCACTAACATGAGAATCAACAAATGCTTACAATGTGGACATGGAATATTATAAACATATTTTAGCTTTATTCTCGCGAGAATTATGCTAATAGAGCAATACAGTATAGCGAATATATTAAAATATCATATGTCAGACAATCATTAACAACACCGATGGCTCGATACTCCGGTTTAATATAAACTATAAAACCATAAATTTATCTACCTTATTGCAGTGTAAGCTTTGTGTTTCTCTAGCAGTAGCTCTCTGCGCCAAAATTTCTAGCGAGGCTTCTGCTTGTGCTGTTGATGGCGCCGCTCAGTAGCTTCTCAACAAAATCCGTCCGTGAGGCATCGATATTCTTTTCAAGCTCCGTATACAAACGTTGTAGAGAATGTAGAGAATCCAATTCGTTTGCCGCAATCGCAAACTGCATGAACATTGTTGAAAATGTTCCCAGATATCGCTGGTAGAAATCGCTCGTAAAAATAGTAAAATTCCTCAGATAGACGTTCGAAATAGTAAACACAGGTAAACACTATACACTATCACTAATGCCGTGTTGACGAATACCTCACGCTGCGAATCCGTCGAAAATATAAGCCAATGACAGTGCAGAATTTTTTAAATGGTTCAATCAGAAGGCTCATACAGAGCCCCTGAACCTGCGAATCCGTCAGGCCTCCCCACAGATCCGTCGCAAATGGCCGTAACCATGGAAATGAACGTGTCAGCCAATCAGATAGCCGGATTTAACCCCCGAATCCGTCAACTTTCATGCGTAAGACCGCTGTTCGTGACTGACTAACATTACTTTGCCGAAGTTCTGCCGCAGCATGAAATGTATAACTGGACTACCGGTACGATTCAAAATTTTAGTAACTCGATCTACTGGTCACTATATAGATAGCTGGAGTTGAATTTTTTTAAGTAGGCAATTTTTACTTCAGTCGCGCGACTGATTTGACGACCCCTAGATCCGCCTCTGTTCGCGTATAGAAAACATCACGGATGTGATACAGCTATTCTATCCTTGACAGAAGAATGGAAGAAGGAACTCGACAATCATAAGGTGATTGGTCTTGTGGCGATGGATCTTTCAAAAGCTTTTGACACACTGCCACACGACTTAACTGTCCAGAAGTTGAAACAATACGGCACTGACCAAAAGACAACAACGCTAATCGCGGACTATCTCTCTAACCGACGTCAAAGAGTGAACTCGGAAGTAACTACTCTTCATGCGAGAACATTTCTGATGCAGGAATACCTCAAGGCTCCATCCTTGGCCCACTGCCCTCCAATATTTTTATGAATGACCTTGCATATTTTATCAAACACAGCGAACTATCAGCCTATGCGGACGACACACAGATGTCCTATGCAGATAAAGACCCTGCAAAAGTGGAAGAAGTCATTAACTCTGATTTAGCCAAAGTCGACCAGTAGTATAAAGAAAATATAATGCAAAGAAATCTCTCCAAGTATCAAGCAATCGTAATGGGAAAACCAAAAGCCAATCTTGAATTCCGCTGTGAAAACACAACCATTCCCAACTGCGAGGAAATGGAACTTCTTGGGGCACTATGGATAACAAGCTGAAATTTGAAAAACATGTAGCAAAAATATGCCGGAAAGTGTCTCAACAAACTGCAGTTTTAAAGCGTATGAGAAATATGCCCCCTTCGAAATAAGATCCAACATTTATACGTACTTTATCGCACCGCATTTCAGGTACTGTTCTGAAACCTGGCATTTTTGTAACAAGATCACAGCTGATAAGTTGGAGAAAGTGAACGAACGTGCGATCCGCTTTGTTTTCAAGGACAGGTACGCACCCTACGAAGAACTTCTCACAAAATTGGGACTCTCAACTTTGAGGCACGAACGAATTAAAAAAATTATTTGTAATGTGTATAGATCATTAAATCACAGCAACTATCCACCGAGCTTAAAGAATTACTAAATCTATGGCAAAGCAAATATTCACTGAGAGGAAAACATATTCTTCAAATTCCAAAGGTGAATACCACAACTTGTGGGCTGAAATCCTGGCGATACCAGGCAGCAAAACTATGGAATTCGCTTCCTGACACTGCTGGAATTAAATAGTATTAGTTTAAACGACATTAGAATCTTAGACAATCTACAGTAACTTAAACGCATTTTCACTTAGATCAAATTAATGTAATAACTACAAATCTAATTTAGTCTTCTTTTTACTATAGTCTTATAAATCAATTAATATTTTCCTTAATTTTTAAAAATATATGTTTTTTCTTAAAAATGCATGGAAAAACATTTGAAAGATTAATAGTTTTAACTATACAACAATCAGTTGCCGAAATATATTTTTAGGTGTGCTATTTTGCATTTTGTCGGCTATGATTGAATTCGAATGTAAAATTTCATGTATGTTTTTTAATCTATGTTTTGAGAAGTTAATGATACCCTAAAGCATCGTTTACTTTAACTACGTTTTAATTTCAGTTAAGGCTAACCACTTTTTTTTATACAACCGACTTAACTATACGTGATTAAAGTTAGCCTTAAACCTTATTTAAACCAATCAAACATGAAAATATTTTCGGATAATAATCAAGTTTTAGACGTGTTTGACCGGAGAGGGACTTCACGTGACTGCAGTTCTTTACTATATATGCTGACCTTTCATCAAAAGCATAGTTCAAACCTGTTGCATGTGATAACTGATAAACTAACATGCATTGAGTATTAATTGAAACTTTCTTTTTGTTGCGCACATGTTTCTGATATATAATCAGACTTTTTATGAGAAAATTTGAACTATTGATAAAAAAATAACGTGCTGTGTGTTTTTATATCCTCTGTAGAGAGGATGAGATAGACTTTTGTGTAACTTTGTCTTGTAATTTGTTTATATGGCTTACTAAACTGCTTCAAACTTAATTGCTTGAAGTGCATAATATATGTTTTTTCTTTATTTTAAGCACCTTATAAAGGACCTGTTATCACATATATTATTGCTGAAAGCTCAACGTCGCTCAGAATTAACTGGAAGGAATTAAGTGATGATGATGCCAATGGTGTAATAACTGAATATCGTGTTTGCTACAAGCCCGTAGAGTCTTCTGAAGATATCTGCAAGTTTGCAGCTCGGGAAACCATGAGTATTGTTCGTCGTTTTACCCTATCTAACTTGAAGAAATACACGAGCTATATAGTCGCAGTCCAAGCTGCCACTAAGATTGGATTGGGACCGGTTGGAGCAAATAGGACATGGCAAACAGAGGAAGATAGTAAGTATTATATATTGTTCAATTTCCTGCTTCATATATAGGTGTACAATATTTTAGTTTTATAACAGTTTGTTACAACAGGGTACTGAACAATTGTCTTATTGGCAGACAAGTCAAACATTGCATTGTTTCACTATAGTGGCGCGATTTGCCGAGCATTATGAAATTGACCGCCAGGTTCAAAGGCTTATTGTCGGGTTTTAATAACGAAATAAATAATAAAAAAAAAAATAAAAAGATAAAAATTTAAGTTATTAAAATTTAAAATTTTCTTTTCAGATAAATGAATAAACAAATCTTGGTTAGCTCCTTTTCGACCGGCCCTGTGAAAACTATTGCAGATCTGCAATAGTATTTTGGAGGTTCATATCTTCGGTTCAGTACATGCTACGTAGATGAAAATACCACCATTCAATTCAGCGAAATAATATTTCCTGATTCATCATGATAGTTTTAGTCAAAGACAAACATTATAGCGATTTATGACCTTTGAAGGGTCGAGAGGTATCATATTTCAACAAATTACATATTTGTTGTAAAAATGTAAACAATGTAGCACTAAAACCATGCCTTTCGCTGGACACAACTTTGGCCCTTCGAACATGTATTTTTTGTTGTAGTCTTGTTCGATTCACAATCAAAAACACTATTTACAGTGTTATTTTGAGGCTTGTAGCCTCAGTTCTTCGTCTTTTATTTCGATATTTCAATCTGTTGCGATATTAGCGAACTCAGCGGGATATTTTTTGATCGGAAATGCGATTTAAATTCGCCAAAACATCGATTGTAAAGGTCAAATTACATCTGCAGCATGATTTGCACGTGCATCGGGCTACGGGTACTTCTTATTCGCCAATTTTAGCGTGTGGGAGGCGCGTGCGAGAAAAACCAAGAAAAACCCGATATTTTTAAAAACTCAAAATAAACATTTCTACTGGCTGTATTCAAGTGAAATTCTGGATATAAAAGCGCTTGAATACAGCACATATTTCACTCATATTGATTTGAGCCGAACTCTGAAGAATTCACAAGTTATTTACGCTATTGTGGAAACGAAATTCCGAAATTTTGGCCAAGCGGTGAGTAAATATATGATTGTTTCGGTTTGTGTAATGCTTTGACGGCATTCAACCCCCCGTTGAAAAGGTTATTTTATTAGGATTTCAATGGTATTCTTTGTTTTAAAGGGGGGTGAATACGCGCTGAGATATTTACGTTATAAACAATTGAGTTGTAAAATCGTCAAAATGTCGCTTAGAATCGAAGCCAAAAATACCGAATTTGCACTGAAAAAATTGAAAGCGCCATTATACGCGAAATTTTCTACGAACAATGTTTTAGTACGTCGACAGATTAAACGCTAGACTTTCTTAAAGTTCTTTCCAGTTCTTTTTTCGCGATTCGTAAATCGACTTGTAGTCAAGTCTAATCAAACGCCATCACAGCAATCTTGGTATCATTATAATCTTCTAAATAACCACTATTGACCCCCAGTGGTAGTTATTTGCACACATATAACCTGTGGGTTCCCGCAATGGTCTTAATGTAACCATAGTGGTGCACATTTCGAAAAATAATTTTGAGTGTCACCAAACTTCAAAAAATGCGCGAGGCATTGAGAAAAATTATGACACTCGCGTGCTGGTCGAATTCGCTACATTTTATGCCAAACGTCATTAATTGAAATTTTCGTTGTTTGCGCTCATGATTTTGATATGGTTTGGAGAAACCCCCTTCCGAAATTGGAATAGTTTTATAGGAAAATTATAACTATTGATAAAAATTAATGGTTAACTACATGTAACTCTGTCTTGTAATTTGAATTATTTTATTTCCTACTACACTGGATTCCAGACACACAGAGCCTTCAGTATTAAATAATAAATTGAAACGTCGCGAAGGCTCTGGTTCTACGGGAGGATTCTTTGCCAATCACAAGACAGTATTAGTGGTTTTAGTACAGAACCTGTACTGAAACCACTAATTCTGTTTTGTGATTGGCGCCGTTAAATCAAAGAATTCTCCCGTTGGACCAGATCCTTCGCGACGTTTCAATTTATTATTTAATACTGAAGGCTCTGAAATCCAGGGTAATCACCTACTAAACTTTTTTAAATAACTTCATTGCTTGAGGTGATTGTCACGGGACTGATGCATAATGTATAATGTTTTTCTTTATTTCAAGTACCTGCTAAAGGGCCTGTTATCACAAGTATTTTTGCTGAAAGCTCAACGTCGTTCAGAATTTCCTGGAAGGGATTGAGTGATGGTAATGCAAATGGTGCAATAATAGGATATCGTGTTTGCTACAAACTTGTAGAAACTTCTGTGAATATCTGCAATTCCGTTGGTAATGTTCTTCATACAACGTTGTTTAACTTGGAGAAGTACACGAGCTATGCAGTTGCAGTCCAAGCTGCCACTAAGATTGGTTTCGGGCCGCTTGGAGCAAAAGTAACCAAGCGAACAAAGGAAGATAGTAAGTATTTCGTACTATTTAAGTTTCTACTTGATAGGTGTACAATATTGTGGTTTTATAATAGCTTTTTACAACGGTCTCATTCTCAGGCTGCCGTTTCCTTTAACATTTAAATTGATCAAACCATCAATTTGTTTTTTTGTGCCAATGAATGGGCCATGAAACACGTTGATAGCCTGTATGCATTCAATACATGTAGGATATTTATGAACATGATTAAGAACACGTTCTACTATAGGGTCCAATATTCTATTTAACAGAATTTGAGAGGAAAATGAAAGAAAACACTAAAAAATGCAATGAATACAGCCATGACTGTGGAGAAATTATACATAAATGTAATAATTCTGCATGAAAACAAGAATTCCTTTTCAAACATGATAAAAATTGGTTAAAAACATAAGAATAATTGCAAATGTGGACAATGACAGATTTCATGTTTTAATAGGAAAATCACATCAAATGCATGTTAAAAATGACTGGAAATATATTCAGCAAAAACATACAAATTTTGCAACAATTTTAGCTTTTCCAAGTTGCAAAATATGACTAAAATGATACTAAATCTCTAAGAGGAAAAAACTGCTAAAAAATTTGGGCAAAATTTATTGTTTTTAGCGAAGTGAGTAAAAGGCATGTGAATAAAAGGGGAAAAAAGAGGAAAATGTTATAGTTCCAAAACATGTCTGGAGGCAGCCACAGTCAGTGAAAATTATATATCAGGAACATGGCACATGCCACCTTCGATAAATCGAAAACTCTAAACTATCCAATGCTTCAATATACCGGTATCGAAAGAATGCCATTTCTTCGATATATCGAAAGAATGCCATTTCTTCGATATATCGAAAGAATGCCATTTCTTCGATATATCGAAAGAATGCCATTTCTTCGACATATCGAAAGATTGCAATTTCCTCAAAATATCGAAAGATTGCAATTTCCTCGATATATCGAAAACTAAACTGTCCATGGCTTCTATATATTGAAAGAATGCCATTTCTTCGATATATCAAAAGACTGCCATTTTTTCAATATGTCAAAAACTCTAAACTATCCATGGTTTCGATACATCAGAGAAATGGCATTGTTTCGATATATCTCAGAAATGACATTCTGCCAAATTCAATATGTGAAAAACCAAAAGGATGTCATGTCTTGCCAAAACAAGCCATGTTTTAAATAGTGATAGTAAAACAACAAAGTAGGGCACAATTCAGCTCAATGGGTTAGCAATATGGTATACACTCAAAATATAACACATTCTACAATAGGGTTGCATATATTTCTATTTAGCTATAATCAAAATAATCACATGTACAGTCAGGGCCGCCAAGAGGGGGGGGGGGGCAAATTGCCCTGTGCCCCCACCTTAATAGGGCCCCAACTTGGGGCAAGAGCCTAAAATTGAGTAGGTTCTACAAAGAGCATTTTTGAAATTGAGGGCCACTTACAGCACCTCCACATGCAGTCTAGCTAAGGTTTAGTTGGGTCTAGCTTAAAAATAATAATGTCATGGGGCCCCAGGGAAGGTTTGCCTCGGGCCCCGAAAATTCTCTAGGCGGCCCTGTGTACAGTATAGCTAGCTATATTAATTATACATATACAACAACAACATATGTATATATCTATATTGACTAAAATCACTTCATTAGACAGTACGGTATACAGTAGTAACAACTAAATTCAGTTTTAAGAGTTTCTTCTGCCCTATAACTATATTGCTTTAGGCAATTTTCCCACGACAATGCATTTGGACCCAGTAACATGCAGACCACTGCAGATAAACCAATCCCACAGCAGCGATGTAATACATCAAAAGAGTTATCTTCACAAAACATTACATGCATGGTACTGATTATATACCTTCTTGTATAGCTGTGCTACTGTCAATCTCCTTTATCAGGTGGTCTGAACCCGGTTCTTTTGTGTTTGATCTACTACAGCATGCAAAAGTGATATATCATTTGGTTTACATCAATCTAAAAGAATGGAAAAAACTATAAGAACAGGCACCATTAAAATGAT